GAATTTAAGGTCAAGGACAACTTTATAGGTTCATGGTAGCCACCAAGTAATTGCATCATCAAATTTATTGACAACCATAAAGGGTTCTAACATCAGAGTCAAGGATAACCATAAAAGGTTCTAACCCCCTTGTTTATCATATGCCAACAACAAAAATTCATCATACAATAACTTTTTTTTTTTAATTTAGAGTTAGGGACAATTTTATAAGGTTCATATACCCTAAATTTTATCATGATGAATAAAAAATTTCTCTCATAATCGCTACCACGTATTTGCAACATTTGAGTCAGGGACAACCATTAAAGGTTCTTACACGTTTTTTTTCATCATTTTTTGATTAACCGAATCATGATACAATAGCAACATAATTTTAATGAATTTAGAATCAGGGACAACTTGATAGGGTTCAGATATCTTGTATTTTCTTCCAATGAACAAAAACATCATATCAATTTAGCAACAAAGTATTTTCAACATAGAGTTAGGGACAACCATACAAGATTCTTATACCCTTATTCATCATATGTCAACAAAAAGTTACTTCACACAACAACAACCAATTTTCTGAATTTAAGATCATTGACATTTTTAAAGGTTCATCATATACCCTTGATTTTCTCAAGATAAATAAAAATTCATCTCATAGTAGCTACCAAGTAATTGCCTCATCAAATTTACCAACAACCATAAAAGGTTCTAACATCAGAGTCAAAGATAACCATAAAAGATTCTAATACCCTTGTTCATCATATGTCAATAGTTAACACGTATTTTGTATTAGGGACAACAATTAAAGATTCTCACACCTTTTTTTATCATCTGTCAATTAAAAGAATCATCATATAATAATAACCATGTTTTTATGAATTTAGAATTAGGAATAACTTGATAGCGACAACAATTAAAGGTTCTAATTTCAGAGTCAAGGATAACCAAAAATTATTTTAATACACTTGTTCATCATATGTCAACGACAAAAATTCATCATACAATAATCATATTTTTCCGAATTTAGGGTTAGGGATAATTTTATAAGATTCATATACCCTAAATTTAATCATTATGAATAAATATTTTATCTCATAATAGTTAACATGTATTTGCAACATTAAAGTTGGGGACAACAATTAAAGGTTCTTACACCTTTTTTCATCATTTGTCAATTAAAAGAATCATCATATAATAACAATCATGTTTTTATGAATTTAGAATTAGGAAGAACTTGATAGGATTCATATACCCTAGATTTTCTCACAATGAGCAAAAACTTCATATCATATTAGCAACAAAATATTTTCAATATCAGACAGGGACAACCATTTAGGTTCTTAGACCCTTATTCATCATATGACGACAAAAAGTTACATCATTGATCATATAATAGCAACCATTTCTCTAAATTTAAGGTCAAGGACAACTTTATAGGTTCATGGTAGCCACCAAGTATTTGCATCATCAAATTTATTCACAACCATCAAGGGTTCTAACATCAGAGTCAAAGATAACCATAAAAGGTTCTAACCCCCTTGTTCATCATATGCCAACAACAAAAGTTCATCATACAATAACCATTTTATGGTTGTCGATAACTAGTATGAATAGAAGTTAATAGATTTTCATGTTTAAAAGACAACACGATATCTCTTATCAAATAAAGAGAAATATATAACCAACACTAAAGAGAGTCTAAACATAAAGTAAGTAAACAGTACATACAAAACAAAACAATAGGAGACTACAACATGATGCCAGTGAAAAACTGAATAGATGAGCAAATACGATACAAAATGTAACGTAGAAAAAAAAATGTGGGTGATTTAGTAGCCCAGAACGGGCCGTTCCAAGCTATTAAATTGAACTGAAAATCGTAGTTGAGAACGGGCCGTTCTGGAGGGAGAACAGGTCGTTCTGGTTGGAGAACGGACTGTTTTAGATGGAGAACGGGCCGTTCTGGAGTGGAGAACGGGCCGTTCTAGATGGAGAACGGACCGTTCTGGATGAGTTCCAGAACGGGCCGTTTTGATTTCAAAACGGGCCGTTCTACATGTGATTTTTGTACGTGTTGAGGGAGTGCAGAACGGGCCGTTCCAGTTTCGGTACAGGCCGTTCTGGCCACTCCGGAATGTCTATAAATAGGGATTGGGGGCAGTTGAGGAGAATGAGTTTTTAGAGAGAAGTTTTAGAGAGAATAACTCTCGGTCTGTGAGCTCCTTTCTCTCTCAAATTTCTCTGTATGATTCCTTTTCTCCTCTAGATCACTAACGCCTTCTGGCTTTTCTTGAAATTCAGACTAGGAAGCTTGCTTTGAGAGGATTGAAGTTCCGGGTTGAGCTTCAGGAGGGAATTCTACTTCTTCTCAGTTATTGGCTATTTTGAGCCAATCTTCAGGTAAGGGAAGCTAGAATGTTTGTTATTTTAAATTACATGTGGCTGGATTTGTTGGGTTGGATGAGAGTTTCTAAACTTTCTGACTGGGATTAGGCTAGGCGCAAGTTGAGCGCGCCAGGCGTGGAAGAGCTTAGGGCTCTCAGAGTTGGATGTTGGGCCAGACGTGATTTGGTTGCGTCAGGTGCGGATACTCTTAGGAGTCTCTGTTTCAAGGATACCGAGCATGAGTTGAACGCGCTGGGCGTGGATGAGTCTTAGGACTCTCAGGTTGGGATTAGGCTGGGCGAGCTAAGGCTACGCCAGGCGTGAATATGTTTATGAATGAATTGATGCTTATGCATGTTTAAAGTTGAAGTTTTAGATCATGTATGTATGATATATGATGTATGGTGATGGGTGATTCATATGTATGCTTTGTGATGATACTTATGAATGTTTGAATATGATATGACATGTGTATATGTTCATATGGTTATGTTTATTGATCATAATGGTGGGTAGACCATGTATGATGCATTATTGCATGTGATGTCTTATGACATGTGTATGATTGTTGATCATGATGGTGGGCAGACCATGTATGATGTATGATGCATGATTGCATGTGATGCCTATTGCATGAGTCTAGCCTAGGACTTGAGGAGAGGAAAAATATTTTCGAACTGGAAGAGCTCACATAGAGTCTCTTGAGAGTGGTGCTTGGATAGGCCACTGATATATGAGAGTGGTGCTCTGGGAGGCCACTGGATTTGGGAGAGTGGTGCTCAGATAGGCCACTAGGTTGGGTGAGTCTCCTCTAAGTCCTTAGCTAGTGTTGGAGCGGGGTATGAGGTCGAGGGTTATTCCCTTAACCAAGTACTCGGGAAGGTGCGTGGATCCTTGCGGATAGTCGGTGGGCGAACTCCACAATTGACTTGGTTAATGCATGCCAAGGTCGTGGTAAGCCCGTACCCAGCTGTGCTATACCTGACGGTGGATCTGGACTTCCAAGTGTGTAAGTGACATCATCCGAGTAAACCCGAGGGAGGATTATATATCCTGTTTAGCTGTGACCGAGCGGGCGCATTGGGCGTGAAAACGGTTGGGGTGGTTTCGGTAGGATGGAATGTCACTTATACAGCTCTATTGTTATGGAGATCTCCTAGGTGTATGCGTGACGACGCATTAGATGATTGATATGCATTGATATCTGTCATGAGATGCATTTATTGCATGATTATTAATATGATGAAGTGTGGTGTTTGACTTCATGATTGGTGGATTGTATTTTATGCATGAGTAGTATTGGATAGAGTGTATGGTGTGACTCTATGAACATGATTGATAGTTGGATGATGTGTAGTATAGATTTTATTCTGTACTTGTATGATTGGTTTTGAACTCTAGCTTACCCTTCTGTTTTCATGTGGTGGAACTGCGATGATCATACTTGGTATGGGAGCAGGTCAGGGCTAGGTTGGAGTTGAGGTGTTCGCTGCGAGACGGGGAGTTTTGATCCTCGAGTTAGAATTATCATTTGGGTAACAGTTTTGTCTGTGCTTGACCGGCACTAGGGAATATTATTTTTTTGGGATAACTGTACATATATGTTGTTCTATTTTATAACCAGAAACTTATTTATTTTCATTTTTATTTGTACATGTATGTATGAGTTATCCAGCTTAATATTTTTCTTAGTTTCACTAGCAGTAGTATGATTCCACTAAGTGTAGAGACCATGGCGGGTCGTTACACAAAAACCATGAGATAGATAAAAACAAAACTAATTTGAGAACAAGCCTTAATATAATGAATTGCACCATGCAAGAAACCACCATGATAAGGGTCTTGAAAGTGACCAATATTTACAATCCACACCAAGACACAAATCCATGCTAAAGGAACCACAATCACAATTTGAAAACACAATCAGAAACATTAAATCATTTCAATCAGCACCAAGTTAGAACACATGCTACAAAAAATTGCAAATCAAAATACTCTCAAGAATCAAATTGCATATAAATTCAGTTCGGTAAGTTATTTAGTCCCGACTTGGTCATGTGACCATCAACCCACCAAAACTAATAGACAAAGTGTTGATTTGAAAGTTAAGTTGGTACAGTTCTTAACATCTTGGTGATTAAAATTTTATATTTTCTAAAATTTAAATACTTTTTGGTCACTATAATTTCATGAACTTAACATTTTAATCTCTATAATTAAAATCATTCAATTTTAGTCTTTATAAACACTATTTTTGTTTTCTTTTCATCCCTATCATCTATTGCTATATAGATTAAAAGGTAAATTTATGAAAATATGAGAACTAGAAAGAAACAAAAACACTAATCATAGGGGACAAAAATGAAATGTTTTTAATTGTAGAAACTAATAAGTAAAGTTTATGACCTTAAAGGAACCAGAAGGGTCCTTACCCTATTTATTAAAAACTAAAACCAAACCAAATTTTCTACACGAACAAGGATTTTTCCATATTAGATTTTAGATAAGTGTCATTACCTTAAACATAATTTCAAGTTGAACTTAAGATATCCAAAGCAATTTGAAAACAATACTTAAACCTTATTAGCCACATGCTGGATGAACAAAGGATGCAAGCTTCATACCGAGAATAAAATGTTTGTTTTGTCTTGGTATACAACATTTTTTGTTGTGGTTGTTTTAAGCTCTTTCTCCAAGGAGTTGCCCTCACCTACAAACAACAAAATGTATCTCATAACATATTAAACTAGTTAGATGTTTGATGATAGATATATCTAAGTTTTAGTAAACAATTGATACACTCATACTGTCATACACATATGTTGGATTGAAAATAAATCACTTGATACTCTTGTTCACATAAGTTTTGCCTTATATAGACATGGTGTGCTTGACATATTTACCTAACACAATCTTTTTGAAAGGATGGTTATGCATGAAAGCTTAATTTAAAGGCTTACTTTGCAATGGCTAAAAGGCACTTTTAAATAGTCTAACAAGTACCATTAGTAGTGGTAATACATATTACATGATTAATGTCATATAATTCAATAACTTTTAATACTAGTATACACTTGTCAAATTAATTTTTGACCGCAGAAGTCTAATTTCAAATTACTCACCACATGACAAAAAAAAAATCCTAAATTCACCAATGAAAAGAAAATAAAATTACTTACTTACCAAATAGATTATTTTAAAACTTACAAGTCTCCATCTCATCCCAAGGAACTCATTATTTACCATGCCATTCTATCAAATCCTTGCATCATAGGGGATATTCAAAAGCCCTATAGCCACCATCTTGTTATATTGTTGGGGCCATAAAGGGAAAAAAGAAGCATTGTTAGTATGAAGTTAATGGAAGGACTGAGATTGTTTTGTTTAGTAACCACAATACCTTTTGATAGGACAAAACCACTCATACCAAAAAGGATGAACAATGTAGAGGTTCCCAAGTGTTCAGCCACTGTCAGTTCCCTCCCAACTGCTGCAATTAATCCGAACAATGCCAAACCCATTTCATTTACAAATGCAAGAAAATAAGGTATTACCTAAAACAATCTGCATTAGGTTAACATGTAAATACGTATTATATATTAGTAGGATTCAAATAGAAAATGAAAAAAGGGAGAAAATAGTAATGCATAAGTTTGCTAAGTATTGTAAATAATGAACACGGCGATAAGCATCACGTGTCCTATAAAATAAACAAAAGAAACAAATAATCATATTGTTAAGAGTTGTTTAATCAGTTTCATCCATAATGCATACATCAAACCTTAGATCGGCAAGCAAGGGACTATAAACAAGTAACAACAACAAATTTGGCCAATTTAAACCAAATCTAGGAGCCTACATCCAGAAGATATGGAAGCAGAGAAAAGGGGCAAGTATTTAGCCTTAAAGATATGTAGCAAGTCATTCACCTCAAGGTTAACAAGCTGCCTCCGCAAATAAGCACTTCAATCATTTTGTGCAAAAAAAAAATAGCACAAGATTAAATTAAACCTACAGAAAGCACCCCAAAAATACTTCATTAAATAATTTTTAATACTAGTATACACTTTTCAAATAAACTTTTGAATGAAGTAGGCAAAAAATCTTGGAGCAAGAGTCTAATTTCAAATTACTAACTTGCCATAAGACAAAAAAAATTTATGAATTCACCAAAAAAAAAAAGAAAATTACTCACTTACCACAATTTGAGTCACAAAAGTTCAAACATCTAATTTCGATTTAAATTTGGGGGACAAAGATTTCACCTATGCAAATCGTGTGACCATCCTACAATGAACATGAGCAATGATTAAATAAATCTACAAAAAACTAAGAAATGAAATTCAAACAAAAGACGGGGACTAAAATTAAGAAAGAAAATTTAAAGTTATGAAGAAAAAAGAATACCACCAAAATATGATTGAAAAAATTTATAGGATAAAATAGCCCAATGTTTCTTAAAAGCTGCATAATCAATTGTGATATTAGCACACAAGCCTACCATAGTTTGTTTATCATATATTTAAGGTGAAGACACTCAAAATTCAAGTACGTGAGAAGTATGTACAATTAGAAACAGATTTTATTGCAAATTGTATTAATACTAAGAAGATGCTACATAATTAAAATACATGTTGCAATTAGGTTTTTATTGGTTCAAAATGTTCCATGTACAAAACTGTCAAAACAACTAAAAATATCAACAAATCGATCCATAATTCAATGAGGATAGCACAATCCAATTGGACACTTGGGGCAATACAAAATTTACAAAAAAAAAAACAAATGAATAAATATTAATTTTGATGTTTCAATGTCAACTAAAGCTCACCTTTGCAACTTCATATTGGTAGTCAGAGTCCAAGTTTTGTAACTGTAAATAATAGTGGTGCAGCCCAAGGTCTCACCCAATGGCAAGGAGCTAACAATCGCAATCAACCTAACCATACGCTTTGTTCCAAGAGCAAAACACCTATTATAAAAGAGAAATAATTAATACAAGAAAGGAAAAAGAAAAAATCAAGACTAGATTAACTTACCATTACATTGAATATATACCGATTTCTTATAAAAAACTAATTCAAACAGCATATTAAAATAAGTCTACCGTCAGTAGGGAACCAAGTAATTCTATTTAAGGGACTCAAGACGCTTCTATAACACAACCACAACACAGCAGCTGATTTGTTTCCTTTCAGCTCACAAAATAAAATAAAACTAATACCTCAAGGACACTCATAAAAGGGCGTTAAGAAATGTTGCCTTATTGTTTGCTTCCGTTCACAAAAATGATTTCTCTGAAAAAAAGAGCAATAAATCATAAATGAAAAAAAACATTAACTCTAAAAATTAGGCACCTTATTTTATAGTATATATGTAAAACAAATTTTAGATTCAACAAAAACACACAAGAATAAATTTTCTTTATCTATATATAATCAAAATTAAGATATTCAAAATTAATGACTTCTATAGAAATAGATTCCTAAACTCACATTGTAAAAACCACAGGGAACCCTTCAAGAATTGCTGCAACTGCTAGAGCAACTGGAAAGTAGAAGGAATATGATTAGAAGTTAAAAGATTTTCATGTTTACGAGACAACATGATATCTTCTATCAAAAAAAGAAAAATATAACTAACCCTAAAGAGAGACTAAACATGAAGTAAGTAAACAGTACCAAATCAAAACAAAAGAAGACTACAGCATGATGCCTGTGAATAACCAAATACATGAGTAAAATCTAGATAGAAATCATGATATAGATAAAATCAAAACTCAATTGAGAACAAACCTTAAAATAATGAATTGCACCATGCAAGAAACCACCATGAGAAGGGTCGTGAAAGTGTCCAACTTTTACAATCCACACCACGACACAAATCCCTTCTACAAACTGTAACATAGAATTAAAGGAACCACCATCACAATTTGAAATAAAACAAAATAAAAAGATTTGTCAAATAAGTCATACAATTGTATATCAATAAAGTACATCAAACAATTGTAGTACTACTCAGCAAACAAAAACTTAGACAGATATTTTGATACCATTGTGCAAGACACTTGTCACATTAGCTTCATAGGCATGTATTCCTAAGACAACATAAAAGAGAAACGGACAGATAAAAGTGAGTTAAAGTTAAAACAACCAACATAAGAGAAATCCACAACAAAATTGACATTCAATAGTAAGAAGTTTTGATTAGGCATGCGGACATATAACAAGAAAAATAGAAACAACAATAAGCTCAAGCCTTAAATTTAGTAAAATTTATCCAAAATCAGTGAATATTAATCATTATCAATAACATCGTTTGGGGCTCTAAATTTATTAGTGTTTTAAATTTACCTCCGGAACTTTTTTGGCATTTGTTTCTGCAATGAATCCGACCCTGCATTTTCTGCCAATTAATATCATTAGAATAACCCCCAAATAACAAATTCATTTTTCAGTCAAAAAACTAGTACAGATAACGAAATCAATCAAGGATAATGTCACAAAATACAAAAATTCAGTACATATTCTTGTTCAAAAGAATAATTTTACAAGGAACTTTGTCACTTCCCAAGAGTTTACCAATTACATAATAACTCATTCAGCATTGTACAAATATGCTCCATCATTAATTATAACAGAAATCATTGAATTCATAATATACAGCTTATATTCAAAGGATACAACTTTAACAGTTTCAAGGCATTATGCATATTATTGTTAAGGTATAGACCAATTAAAGAAAATGATGCTTTCCCAAATAATCTGTGCACAAAAATATCAAATCAAACATGACATATGAATGCAAATATATCTTACAGAAGGCTCCAGAAATGCCATCAAGCCTGTTTCTCCACTAATACATGTCAAAATAAAAGATACAAAAGCAACAACAATTAGTATCTTTATAAGAAGCAAATCATCAAATTAATTCCAAACCAATTTCCAAAAAGGAGCTCTTGCAAAATCTATTCAATAAAATTTAGGCAACAATGATACCTGATTGAATTTAGGCAACAATCATAAATTTCAATAAATTTAAGTTAACTTTATAGGTTGCCTTCTTAAGAAGCAAGGACCTTTGGTCAGAATGTTCACAAGTGACCAATGGAATGACAACAAGTTTTCAAATGTGGTTCTACTTAAGGAGTTTTGGAAGAATGTTGTAATTTGTCTAAGGGGTCATTAAAAAGACCATTGTGGCTGTTAGATGCCTAACTGATGTAGGATTTTAACACACAAACCTCTACCTTACTAAACACCTCAAGGCTTAAGTTTGCAAGATTGGAAATTTGTAAATTTGATTAATAGTATAAGAACAAAATATACATACATACACATGGAATGCACAAGTACCAGATGCAATTTGTAATAAACGATGGAATATCAATCAAACTCATGGACAGAACAAACTCAATTTATATCCTATCAGAATTTAGATCTCTGAGCTATGATTCGATCTTATAACATGACCAGAAAATCAATTAAAAAAAAACTACAAAGCTATTTTAAGCGCAGATAAAAAGAAACGAAACAACAATAAAGAATCAACGAACTATACTTTGTTGCCTAGATGTAGACATACAAAGAAAACAATTCTTGAATCAAAGAAAAACAAGACTCAGCAAGAAATAAAACAAGAAATCGAAAAGTAGAGAAAAGTAGAGAAGCGCATAACATTACTTCGTTTTACCTTCCATCGGCCAAGGTCTCCAGAATGAGGAACAAAGAGAAAAATCCTAGCGAGTAGCAAGCAAAGATAAACAAGAATCAGGAAGAAATAAAACAACAATCAAAAAGAAATCAAACAAGAAATTGAAAAGCTGATCGAATCTGAATTGTAGAAATCGAAGAAAAGGAAAAAAGAATAACGATGACATCTAACGGAGGCGAGGCATTGATGTGTGACGGTTGCTATAGAAGAATCAGAGAGACTCTCGAAAGTGGAAAACCCGAACGAACAAGGCATTGATGTGTGAGGGTTGTTATCAAACAAACAGAGAGACTCTCGAATGAGGAAAACCCAAACGAATAATGAGTGACGCTGTGAGTCACACAAACCAGTTATAAATAGAGACGGGGATTGACTGCTTTGGTTCAATCGGTTGCCTTCGTGTTATTTTAAGAATAAAGTGGGTTGGCCCGGTACAAATGTTTTAAACTTAAATAAATTCCTTTCATTTTTTATATTTTATTATACAATTCAAATTTTTTTTAAAAAATTAACTAGTTGGCTTTTGCTAAATTATATTTTTAAGACTTATTTTCATTTCTTATTTTTAAATATTTATTTTCTTTATACCTTCTAAATAGATATGTAGATATTAAAAATATTTAATTATAAAATATAACAATACCTAATTACCAGTTTTTTAGTTTAAAAACTTAATTGGAAATTCTAAAAAGTTCATAAAAAATTAAAAAATGATTTACTATTAAAAATATATATACAAAAAAATTATTTTGTATAATAAATTAGAATAGATATTTCAAGGGAAGTGTTTTTAAAAAATATTTTAAACAATGATTTTTCAACTGTTTTTTAAGGAGTGTTTAAGATATTTTTTAAAAAAGTTTTCATTTCTTTGAATTATTACTTCTGTTCTTCTGTTCTTATTCATAAGATCTAATTCAAGATAATTACTAATTTTTTAATATAAGATACAATTTATATTATTCTTTTTAATTATTTTTAGACTAAAATATCTCTAATTAAAATATATTATCTTAATTTAATAAATACAATAATTTTAAACTCTTAAAGAGCATTAACTCTAATTTTGATTAAAAAATACAAATATTAATTAAATAAAAATAATATAAGATATAGACTCCAATTGATAAGAAGATATATAAATATTAATTAGATAATTAAAAAGAAATTTTATTTTATCAAATGAATTAGGTAATTAGATAATTAGGACTTATATATGTTTTTTAAGATATATTTTAAAAATAAACATTTATTTTAAGCAAATTCATGTACTTATTTGAAGCCGCGATTAGTAATATGGCTAATGAAAGAAAATGAGAAGATGATAAAAGAAATAAGGATATCTTAAGTGATTACGATTTTAATTTAGATGATCTACTTTAGCCATAGGATTAGTGTATAGAGGTTTAAATTAGGTGCAAGTGGTTTAAGTTGTTTTGATATTGCAATGCAGAAGTTTTTGGTTGGTTGTTTCAATTTTTTATGGAATTTAGTTGTTGACTTTTTTATGATTATAAATATGCTATTATGAATTTAAGCTTAAATTAAGTATTCTTTATGTTATGATGGCCTTTTACCGTCTTATTTATACTATTTTAGATGCATATATATAAGAATTTATATGCATATATTTGGATTTTATAATTTTAGTAGAATCTTACATTTTGTGTTATGAGTTCATGATTTATGATTTTGTCACCTAGTTTTGAGTCGAACTGAAATCTCGATTTTGACTACCTTGATTATATGTATAAGTATTATGAATATTGATTTTCATCTGATCTAACTAAACAAATTCACAAAATTAAATTTGAAGTAAAAAACACTAGTTAAGAGATAACATAAAAGGGTCAAAAGGATAAAATGATGATCAAAATATAGGGGTTGCTGCTGCCAGATGGGTCTTGGCACACGGATCCTGTGGTAATGAAAACGGAGGCAGTCAGGTTCTTTAAGGAGCTGTTCTCAATTAACAACGCTCATGGGCCGCTAGACATGCATGCGGGGGTTCCACCTGGCCTGGGTGGAGAGGCCCAATCTGCCTTAACTGCCCCAGTTACGAGGGAGGAGGTTCGCCGGGCGGTGATGAGCATGAAGTCGTTCAAGGCACCAGGGCCGGATGGGTTTCAACCGTTCTTCTTCAAGCAGTACTGGCCTATAGTGGGGGACGAATTATGGCGCACAGTGAAGGATGCATTTCAGTTGGGGTACTCGGACATATCACTCTTGGAGACACAAATGGTGTTAATTCCGAAGGTGGATCATCCGGTTAGTCTCAAAGATTTTCGTCCTATTAGCTTATGTAACGTTGCCTGGAAGGTTATTTCTAAAGTGCTTGTGGCTCGTCTTAGACCTTTCCTGCAGGATGCCATTGGTCCTTTTCAGGGTAGCTTTATCCCTGGGAGGGGGACTCGTGACCATAGTATTATTGCTCAAGAGGCCTTCCACTTCGTACGGAAGGAAGGCTCACGTGTGGGCTCCTTGGCCTTAAAAATTGACCTTGAAAAGGCGTATGACAGGGTCAGGTGGGATTTTTTGGAGTCTACGCTGGTGCAGTTTGGGTTTCCAAGAATCACAACTCAACTTATCATGTGGGGGTTGAAGAATTCGTCCATCTCACTTCTATGGAATGGCAGCACTCTACCGTCCTTTGTTCCGTCTCGTGGCCTTCGGCAAGGAGACCCTTTATCTCCGTATCTGTTTGTTTTCTGTATGGAGCGTCTAGCCCTTAGGATATCTGAGTTGCTCTAGGAGGGTCTTTGGAAACCAATTAAGCTTTCCCATGGGGGGTTATCGCTATCACACTTGTTCTTTGCGGATGATATTTTACTGTTTTGTCAAGCTTCAGATGATCAAGCGCAGTTGGTGGCGTCAACCTTGGAGGAGTTTTCGCGCGCTTCAGGCTTGAGAGTCAACTTGGCTAAGTCAAAGTTTGTGAGCTCGAGAAAGGTTTCACGGCGAAGGATAGATACGTTGGAGGGTTTACTTGGGATTGATCATACGGCTCGGATTGGGAAGTATTTGGGGGTTCCCATGACGCATGGTCAACCGAGGTGCGCAGATTTTTATGATGTACTAGATAAGATCCAGAGTCGACTGGCGGCTTGGAAGTCCAAACTTCTTAATAAGGCAGGTAAGTTGTGCTTGGTGAAGTCTACCATATCCTCTATTCCAGTGTATAGCATGCAAACATTGTGGCTTCCTCAAGCAGTGTGTAATAGAATCGATCAGGCTTGTCGTCGTATGCTTTGGGCAAAATCTGACAACACTCGGTTCTGGTCTCCTGTGCGCTGGGATGTTGTTACTCAACCCCAAGAGTTGGGCGGCCTTGGGGTTAGGGAGGCACGAAAGGTGAATGTATCACTCCTGGGGAAGTTAGTTTGGGATATGCTTACCGCTCCACAGAAGCCTTGGGTTCAACTCCTGAGTGATTGTTATCTACATGGGAGCTCTATCCTGTGTGCTCCGAGCAGAAGGGGTGCTTCTCCAACCTGGTCAAGTCTTATTAAGGCCCTCCCTTATCTTCGTGAGGGATTCGAGCCTCACTTGGGGTCGGGTGCCTCATCCCTTTGGTACAAGGATTGGTCATCCCTTTGGTACAAGGATTGGTCAGGCACTGGACTTTGGTGCCAGAAAGTGCCTTTCGTTCACATTGCGGACACCAATAAAACGGTCGTGGACTGCTGGGTTAGTGGAAACTGGAACTTCACTGCCTTGTATATTGTTCTCCCGGCGGAGCTGTTACTTCCGGTCCAACAATTGAGTGTCGTTAATTCCTCTTTGGGGCTGGATCACTTTGTTTGGAGGGGAGATAGCTCGGGTTGCTATACCGCGCCTTCTGGGTATCGCTTTCTGACCACAGTGTTGTCGACATAGGGGGAGGAAGTTTGGAAGAAGACCTGGAAATTAAGGATCCCTGAGAAGGTTAAGTTCTTTTTGTGGCAATGCCTTCACTCAGCACTTCCAACGAATCAGGTTCGGGCTGATAGGAGGTTGGCCGAATCTGGGGCTTGCTTGCGTTGCTCTTGCCCTCACGAAACCATTTTACATGCCCTTCGAGACTGTCCATATTTGCGAGAGGTGCTGATGTCTAGCGGGATCAGTATGGGGTGGTTTTTCTCTGTAATGGATTGTTTTCAGTGGTTGAAGAAGATTATATTACATAGAGAGGCTATCCAGCTGTCCATTACTTTGTGGTGGGTTTGGCGTTTTAGGAATAATATGTTGTTTAATGACGACCTTTGGCCGATTTCGGTGGTCCGTCGGAAGGTGACTCTGTCTATGGTGGAGACCAGTGAGTATAATGCTAAGCGGCGATTATGGGCGGAGCATGCCATATGGAGTCCTTCGGAGCATCCGTGGGTCAAACTAAACACAGATGGGAGCTGGTTGCGTGGGACTTCTGCTATGGGGTTGGGTGGAGCCATTCGGGATTGGGCTGGTATGTGGCGAGGGGGTTTCTCGCGTGGAGTTTTACATGGTGATGCGTTATGTGCTGAGCTGTTGGCTTTGGAGGATGGACTAGCGTTTTGTTGGGAAGGCGGGTTTCGGAAGGTGAGTTGTGAATGTGACTGCCTGGGAGCTGTTACGCTGTTTCAAGATCGGCCAATGGATAGGGATTACCTGCATAAGCATTATGATGTTATTCGTCGGATTAAGGGCATGCTAGCTAGGGAGTGGATCGTTCACGTCAGTCATATCCCTCGAGAGATAAATTCAGTAGCTCATACGCTAGCTAATTAGGGTGTACGGAACATAGGTTCTAATGTATTTTGGAGGAGTCCTCCAGACTTTATCCTGTTTTCTTTAGGGCAAGACTCGGTGTCTTGAGTTTGCTTGCTGTTTTAATTTTCATTCTTTACCAAAAAAAAAAAGCCCAATACAAGATTTCCTTAACGGAGATATCTATGGTAATTAGAAAGTTGGACTTGGGTCAAACGAAAGATAAAATTATTGTTTTGTGTCACCCTGTAGTTATGAGTAAATCCATGCCTAGGCCGAGCACACCGACATGTTCCGTTTCATTAGTGGTCGGTTAGCTCGGGTGCTCGGTTCAGTCAGTCACGGGCTCGAATACTCGGCGTATTTGGGTTTAATTTAAAGTGCATCATGATAATATGCTAAAATTTAAGAGTGATAAATTCGTACTTGCTCACTTGAGTTGAGAGGACCTTCTTGGGTGTAGTGTGTCAGACAGTCCATATTTCATTTTAAAGTTTTGTGGATCCGTCCCAATTTGGTTAATGACCTATAATTTTTTGAAAAATGTTTTTAAATAATTGTGTAAAATTATTTAATTTAATAGATAATATTATAT